CGGCGTACCGTGCTCTAATGACTCAGAACGAGCGCTTTGCTCTAGAGGAAGGGACGGCTACCGGCGCTTCTCGAGATGATAAACAGATGTGGACGGCCTTGTGGAAAGTGATCCCAAAAGTTCGAGTGTTTTGGTGGCGGGTACTGAGAGGGATCCTACCGGACGAAAGCACTCTAAAGCATCGCCATATTGCAGTCTTAGATACTTGCAAAGTTTGTCTGGCAAGGGAGGAGGATCTCATGCATGCGCTCATTCAATGTTCCCATGCACGACGCTTCTGGAACGAAGCTTGTGCTTGGTTTGATCTGAGGCTTCCTCGACTACACCCACACTCGTGGGCCAGAGACATCCTATGTGGAGACCGGGTCAGAGATGAAGATCGAGCAAAGATTATTACCATCATGTGGACGATCTGGCATTCTCGCAATCGGATCAAGCATGGGGAAGAAGGAAGAGACCCAACAGCAACCATCAGGTCGACGAGGGAGGCCCTAGCGCTGCTGGAATTACCGCGGAAAGAAGCTACACTTCTACCAGGCTTCGGATGGCGACCACCTGAACAAGGTATGATCAAAATATCGACCGATGGTGCACTCAATGTGGCGGATGGCCGAGGAGGCGCGGGTGGTGTTGCTCGCTCCGCGTCAGCGCTACTGGGCGCATGGTGCAAGCCGTTCGGTGACATTTCAGATCCATTGATTATGGAAGCTCTATCATTGCGAGAGGGAGTGCTTTTTGCAAAACTTCGTGGCATATCACACGTGATAATGGAGACCGACTGTCAGGAGTTAGTGCAACTCTGAAATTCTCGCCGCAATTCATGTTCGATTGTGGCCCCTATCCTAGATGAAATAGGAGAGCTAGTTTTTGATTTTTCGGTATTTGAGGTTCAACATGTAAACAGGGCAGCAAATCTACCGGCGCATCTCTGTGCAAAACGTGCATGCACTCTGAATGCGACCGATTGCTGGCTCGAAAAGACTCCTAGCTTCTTGGTGACCAGCCTTTTGGCTGATTGCCGGGAGAACACTTTTGTTGAATAAAAGCTCCCTGATTTGCCCGAAAAAAAAAGATAACGTTCATAGAGGCAAAACTAGATGAGAGCATCGAGGCGTGGCGTGTAGACGGAGAGAAGCGCCGAGTGGTGGCCACGCACGGGTCTCCGATCCTCCCCGTCGCCCACCCCTCCGTGACGGACGGCCTCAGCGACAAGAAGCCAAAACGGCGCTTCGCTTCGCCCACTCGAACGCCTTTGTTTGCATCCCCCTCGTGCCCGCCGCACAGCCAATCAATCCCGTCAGTTTCGCTTTTGCGGTTCGATTCGAGGGCTCCTCCCAGCGCATGGGGATCGCACAGGCTGCCGCCCCGCTGCGCCTGCATCTCGGATGCTCCGGCGCGGCGCCCCCGCGGCCCACCTCCCTCAGGGTCGGGGTCGGGTTCGGATCCCATGCGAGGAGGAAGGGCGGGAGGAGGCGGAGCCCTCCCCGCGCCGCCAGCTCGCTGCATCCCAGCAGCAACACGAGAGCGCACGACCATGACCCCGCCCTCAAGCCTCCCGCTCCCGCCGGCGATGTCGCCGGGAGGGACTTGAACGGCGCCGCCGACCACGCGCCGCAGCAGAGGCGGCGCGCGGCGAGCGACCTGGAGGAGGAGGCGTGGGCGCTGCTCCGGGAGTCGGTGGTGAGCTACTGCGGCAGCCCCGTGGGCACCATCGCCGCCTGCGACCCCAACGACTCCAGCCCGCTCAACTACGACCAGGTCTTCATCCGGGACTTCGTGCCCTCGGGCATCGCCTTCCTGCTCAAGGGGGAGTACGACATCGTCCGCAACTTCATCCTGCACACGCTCCAGCTCCAGGTCACCCACCCTTCATACTGGTTGGAGTATTTCGGTCGGTTGGTGTCTGTCAATACAGATGCTCCTCTTACTTGTGTTATAATAATGTGTATGCAATTGAATCATTCATGCTGATGCTCCTCAGTTCCAATAAGATTAAGCACAACCTATATGAAATTATTAGTTGAAGGCAACAAATCAGGATACCATTCTGCTCAATGTACTGCCTATCATGTACTCCCTCCGTCCCAAAATAAGTGTCTCAACTTTGTACTAACTTTAGTACAAAGTTGTACTAAGCTTAAGACACTTATTTTGGAACGGAGGGAGTATGAAGCTTGTAATAATTTGTAAAAACTGATTGTTGACCATCTATAGAGCTGGGAGAAAACCATGGACTGCCACAGTCCAGGGCAAGGCTTGATGCCAGCTAGTTTCAAGGTGCGTGTCGTTCCGCTTGAAGGTGATGAAGAGGGCGCAACTGAGGAAGTCCTCGATCCTGATTTTGGGGAGGCTGCTATAGGCCGTGTGGCACCAGTTGATTCAGGTAAGGTTTTTTAATAAACCTTTTAATTCAGGTAATGTTGACTCTCTTAATACACGTATAGCATAAAAAAAGAGCCTTAATGATGGTTTTCAGGTCTATGGTGGATCATATTACTGAGGGCATACGGAAAATGTTCAGGAGATCTTTCATTTCATGAGAGAATCGATGTCCAGACTGGAATAAAATTGATCTTGAAGCTCTGCTTAGCTGATGGGTTTGACATGTTCCCCACATTGCTAGTCACTGATGGATCCTGCATGATGGATCGTCGAATGGGTATCCATGGACACCCACTGGAGATTCAGGTAGCACAAATGTCCGAAAGTAACAGCGCAGTGAAACATCACACACACACACACACACAACAAACAGCAAAAAGCACATAACCATACCAACACAAACATATATGACGATGGCACAGGCACTAAATAGTAAATACAGTTATGGAGTCTGGTATATTTTTACACAAGGAATGAGAGAGTTCTTACATGTCTTAAATTCTTTTTGGGTGTCACTCATTTCACTGCACGGAGCACAGTTCTGGCCTGAAACCACAAATATTGGCCAATCGAAGCACCTGTCTTTAAAAACATGGTTATTCAGGTCATTCTAAGATTATGGTTAATAGTGCCACGTGATCCTCCCGTGCTATTCTGTAGATGAGTGAGGATTACTTTCTGCTATTTATGCATGATTTCTCATATATCATTTTCATTTCTTGTGCAGTCACTGTTCTATTCAGCCCTCTTGTGTGCACGTGAGATGCTTACCCCAGAAGATGGATCTGCTGACTTGATCCGTGCCCTAAATAACAGGCTTATGGCGCTCTCTTTTCATATTAGGGAATATTACTGGCTTGACAAGAGAAAGCTAAATGAGATATATCGATACAAAACAGAAGAATATTCTTATGATGCTGTCAACAAGTTTAACATATATCCTGATCAGATTCCCCCCTGGCTAGTTGAATGGATCCCTCCGGAAGGGGGTTACTTAATTGGAAACCTGCAACCAGCTCACATGGATTTCCGATTCTTTTCTCTGGGGAACTTGTGGTCTATAGTAAGCAGTTTGGCAACAACCCGTCAATCCCATGCTATTCTGGATCTAGTTGAAGCCAAATGGTCTGATCTAGTGGCAGAAATGCCATTGAAGATATGTTATCCTGCTCTCGAGGATCAAGAGTGGAAATACATTACAGGGAGTGACCCTAAAAACACGTGAGTCCTAGATTGTTGCCTACTTCTGCGAGTCTTGCAGATCGTTTGCATCTGCTCATAACATTTATTTTGTTTTGCTGCAGGCCTTGGTCATACCATAATGCAGGTTCCTGGCCAACATTGTTGTGGCAGGTTTGCAACTTAAGCATCATGTTTGAAATTTTGATGTGTACTATGCAAACCACCTTGTCGAGTGTTTGGATTGATTACTTAGCACCATTTGCTCTTGATTGTAAATGTCAATCAGTTTCTTGTTTTTCTTTTGGCAGCTCACGGTGGCATGTATCAAGATGAACCGGCCTGAGATTGCAGCAAGAGCCGTGGAGGTGGCTGAGAGGCGTATTTCCGTGGATAAATGGCCTGAATACTACGATACTAAGTGTGGGCGGTTCATCGGCAAACAAGCTCGACTATTCCAAACGTGGTCCATTGCGGGCTTCCTTGTGGCCAAGCTGCTGCTCGAAAACCCTGAAAAGTCTAGAATACTTTGTAACAACGAAGACGAGGAATTTGCTAATGCTTTTAATCTCATGGCTGATTCATGCAGCCCGAACAGGAAGCGTGGCAGGAAAGCCCCGAAGAAGACCTACATTGTGTAAGTCTAACAGCAGCTCCAATGTTAGGGGGGTTCTTAGATGTAGCGGTGTAGTTTTTTGTGCGAATCGCACATATACCTCCAGGATTTGTACATATTACAGTGAACTTGTCTAGAGGAAATGCCCGCTTTGAGACACTGTCACTCTGTTTATGGTTGGTTAATTGTTATCAAGGTTTTCGCAGCACAGCACAGCATTCACTTTACCACAGATGCACAGTTATGCTACTCACCGGTCAGCACCATAAAATGGTTACATCCAAGCAACTACTGATGTCCCATCGGCATTCATCAACGCAAACCCATAACATAATTGTGATGTCCGTGGCAGACACATGACTTCTAAATCCTTGCTCCTAACTTTATGATATTATTAATGAACAAGAACATATGTTACACAACTTATTACTGGACCTTACTTGAGTTACTACTGCTACATACTGTATCAAGCAACAACGACTACTGCAAGCAGTAGTGCACAACTGCAACCAGATGCAATTGCTTGCAAGACCATGGCTGCATTCAAAAGAAAAATGCTTGCACAAGACCATGGCTCATCTGATATCTGATGGTATTAACAAGGAATAAACAGGCACAACACCCGACCTTACTCTACTGATAACTCATTTTCAACAGAAAAACTGCAGGGGAGTGGGGAGTGGGGAACTGTGGGACTACTACTTCTAGCTACCACGGTATGGATATTCTTCAGAACACAACGTACTACCACTACAACTTCTACTGCTACTACTGCCACCACTAGAAGAGCTCGAACTCAATGTCGTCTCCATTCATCCGGAACTCAAGGCACTTGCCTTCCTTCTTCTTCCGTGCCACCGCTGCCGTAAGGGTCGAGGCGTCGACGCTTTTCGGGGTCTCGGGCGGTGCAGTCCAACGGATCAAGGCCCAGTTCAGGCCTTGGAAGAAGGGGTGCCGCTTGATCTCGGCAGCTCCTTTCCTCGAGCCTAGCCGGAGCTCTGGCTCCTTCACAAGCAACCCTCTGATCAGATCGCGAGCCTGGTAGCTGACAGCTGGGCTATCAGGGAACTTCAGCCCCTGTGAGACCACATTTGTAAGTGTTTCGTCATTGCCAGGTCCTCTGAATGGTGTCTTGCCGTAGAGCAATTCATACAGAAAGATGCCAAGAGTCCACCAATCGACCGAGCTGCCATGGCCATCTCCTCTGATGATCTCCGGGGCAAGGTACTCATGGGTCCCCACAAATGAATTTGACCTCGCGTCAGTGGGCTCGACGACAAGCTGCGGAAGTGATGGTTTCTTCAGGGGCTCAGCCCTCCGTGTCCTGGAAGGTGTAGAAGATACCAGCCGAGGTGTGAAGCAAGAAGAGTTGGCCCAGGATGGCTGGATACACAGTGGATCGATGCAGCTTTCAGCACAAGGTCCGGAAGGCCTAGGAGGTTCATCTCTTCCTACTGATGAGCACCTCACAAGCACGGGATTAACTGAACACCTCAGGGACAGATCAAAGTCGGAGAGCATGATGTGCCCATCTTCACGAACAAGTATGTTCTCAGGCTTCAGATCACGATATATAACCCCCAACATATGCAGATACTCCAATGCTAGGAGAACTTCAGCGACGTAAAACCTGCAAAGGGACATACAATACTTGTGAGTTAAATAACTTGAAACATGATTTTCAGCTAGAAATTCAAGTGCAGTCGGTCGATGAGATCACACATAAACACCACGGCTGAAGTTACTTACCTAGCAGCGGCTTCTGAAAAGCATCTAGTAGGTTGCTTCTGCCTTAGGACATGCAGGTCACCGCCTGGACAATACTCCATCACTAGGCAAGACAGATTATCTGTCGTGAAATAAGAATACAGGGTGGGAAGAAACGGGTGGTCAAGCATTTGCAGTATCTCCCTCTCAGTTTGAGCCCTCAGCATCTTCTTCCGGCTTATTAGGTACTCAATGTCCATAACCTTCAGTGCAAACATGCAGTCCGAACCAACCAACTCAGCCAGATACACAGTGCCAATATCTCCACATCCAAGCTGTTTGAGAAGCTTGAAGTTCTTCAATCCCAGGGTCCCTTGTTGGATCGCTATACGCTTCATGGCTTCCCATCTCACATCTTTTGACATGTGAGGCCTGCTGCCATTAGCACTGAAACTACCATAACTATCTTCACTGATGCTGGTGCTTGTGCTGTAGTCACCGATGCTGCTCTTTGAGCTTTGGGAGCTTTCACCCTTTTCCTTCGACCTTGACAACTCACCAGGCTGTGAACCAGGGATCCCACTGACATAGCATCCTTTGCCAAAATCAACTCCTTCGGCGCCGAGAGCGCCATCATCAGCACCCTTCTTGCTGGTTGGTGCTGGAGTTTTGGGTTCATCCTGAGGGGCCTCGTGTTGCTTCTTAGTATGAGAACCGGAACCTTTTGGCTCACAATGCTTCTGTGATGCCACCGCTGCAGCTGGTTCCGGTTTAACCTTCTTTTTAGTGGAGGACTTGCTGCGAAACACCAGCCGTGAGCCTCCAACTGGAACAGCTCGCGGACTAGATGCTTTTGGAGATTTACCCTTTCTCTGTTTTGCCACAGCTCTTCCTGCAGTCGGATCTTCGCTTGCCTCCAGTGACTTATTACTGATGACATCTTGGATTCTGGTTTTTTGGACCTTGGCCTTGGTTGGAGACGCTGATCGCACATGCTTGTGAGCTGAAGCCTTACTGTGCACCTTCTTGCCTGATTCAACCAACTTAACCGATGAACTTACTACAACCTTGTCAGGCAAAGCAACGGCCTTCTCAACCTTGTTCTTCCCATCTTGGTCCTCGTCTGTTGGAACCACAACAGAGGCATAAAGCTTCTTAATCGCCCCAGATTCAGGAGTACTCGACACAGCCGCGGGCTTGGACATCCTCTTCATGGCGGCCATCTCCGAGGCCTGGGAGATGCACATCTTCCTGAGGGCCTGCTTCAAGCTCACAGACTCCACGATCTCCGAGCTCGACATGGGCGCCTTCCCAAGCGCAATAAGCCTCTTGTCCGTGCTCGTCTGCCCAGAAGCCCGCGCCGAGGTGCGCACATTGAAGGATCTGAGGAGCCGGTCGAGGTCATCCTCGACCGAGCACGACCGGCCCCCATGCTCCTGCCCCACCGGCTTCACCCTCACCCTCAGGTGGGTGACCCCGCCCGGACGGGCGTCTTTGGTCTCATCCACCAGCTCGACTATCTCCGGGCACCCTGAAGAACCCATCCTCTCCAGCACTCCCACCGCCTCCAGAAATGCTCCCTCCTAGGCGCCTAGCAGAGTATTGAACTTGCGGAGCTCTGCAAGCAGCAACCGCATCTGGGTGGGTGGTGATGCGCTTCAAGTTAGGACCGTTGGCGCCTGCAGTTAGGTGAGCAAAGAGGCAGCTTTCCCGGATCGAGAAGCGGCATCACGAGGCAGGCCCTGCAAGGGAGTAAGCAGAAACTGGATCAGACGGTGTGGGTATTCATGCACAAGAAAGAACCTTATTGGCACTAACATAGTGGAGGAAAAAAGGTGGGAATCTGGAGCTTGAGCCGATCTTGGTGCCCTTGTACTCATTATCATCTCCCACTAGTCACCCTTCCCCACCCATAGTTAAAATTTGAAGAAAGAACTATAGAAAAAACGAAAGCAAAAGGGACATAGATGCGGTAGGTGAGGTGGGGTTTCTCTCTCTTTTCTTGTAGCGAACTGATGCAAGATCCGTAAACCTCCGGGCGGCTTGAGGGACAAGAAGACACAAGCAAGCACCAGATGGGCGAACAAAATGGGGGTTACTTTGAGCCAAGCCAAAGGCACAAACGCGCAGAGTCAAAAAAGAGAGAGGAAGAGCCAGATTTGCGCACGAGAGAGAGGAGGGAAGCGGGGGATTTGGACTTTGGAGCGGGAGAATCTTACCGGCGGGAGGACGGCGGCGACGGCGGAGGCGAGATTTAGGGTTTCGAAGCAGCGGCGGCGACGAGCAGGGGAAGAGGCGGCCAGTCAGCTTGAGCAGCAATGCGCGCACATCTGACGAGGAGGCAAAAGAGGAAGAGAAATGAGAGCGGCTGCCTCCCCCCTCCCCTCACTCACACCTATGGGCTATGGAAGTATGGATGCCGCTCCTCTCTCCCTCGCTGGTCGCTGCCACACTCACCAAACTCACGCACGGTGCCCCCTCTCTCTCTCTCTGGCTATGGCTATGGCTATGGCTATGGCTACGCGAGGGAGCGACGCGCCCCCACCGCAACCCAATAAAAACACGCACCACCACCACCACCACCCCTACCCTAGGATTTACGCTTGTTTATTTATGGCCGCTATTTATTATTGCTGCCTGTAGCAGGGCGTAGCGTGCCTCCCTTTCACGCGTCTCTCTCCTCGCCCTTTTCCGTGTCTCCCTCCCTGGCCAGCAGGGGGAGGGGAGGGGAGGGGAGGGGAGGGCCTTTTCTTTTTTACTTTTCCTTTTCATGACTCGTGTTATCACGCTCGCCGCCGGTACAGGGCGACAAGAATACGACCCGGATGCAGAAAGCAAACTGTAGTAATTTCTTTATTTAAACGGGTTCAAAGCCACCACTACAGAGACTGTCGATCTCTAGCCGCACTAGTGGATGCAATCGCAGCCAGAAGATGGAGTATAGTACTACTGGAGCAAGTGGAGTAGTAATCTGCTTGTTACATATTCGCGGGAGGCCAACTGATTGTGCCGTTACCTGCGTGGTCCGTCACGTCAACAGCGCCGCGTCATGTCGTGCCGCCGCTGAGACACATGGTTACCACTTCACCGCTGTATGTACTGTCCCTAATCTAACCTGTGGGGGCGCACCGCAGCACTGTATCTGTATGTATGTGTGCTGGTAGAGGCAGAGGCTCACACACTGCTCTCCTCGTCGTTTTACGCACGCATTCATCTGCTCCACGCGCACCTCGCGTCTCGCTTGATCCTTTGCCCAAACGCGCGGCGCGGCTGCCGTGCCGCCTCACCCTCGCCAGTCGCGGCCCGCCGTCGGCCCGGTGGATTGGAGTACTTGTATAGTACTCCTATACTCTACCTGCGAGATACTAGTACGAGTCGCTCGCCAGTAGTAGTAGAGTACACAGGCTGACACCGAAATCAAACGGGGTCTTGTATATTTCGTCAAGACGTGAAACTTGCGATACCATCAGGTTCTGATTCTTGTACTCCGTCGCATGCGGCCTGCGGTCAGTGCCGCCGCCTAGAAGCTCGCCGCGCATTGGAATGCGGGGCAAAAAAGAGAGGAGGCGACGCAACGCTCGCCGGCCCGCGCAGTCACACACTTGCCGGCTCTTGCAAAACGGAACATGGGAACGCCTTTGTACTCCTCCGTTCGCTCCTTGGATCTTTCCCTCCGCAGACTTTTGAAAACAAACCAACAGCAACAGGACCCTCGCCGGCCCCGAGGCTGTCTTCATGGCTCCGATGCAAGTACTACACCCAACCGCCGTGCATAATTTAAAACGGGCATGTGGGCCGTGGGCCCCTTCGTCACTTCAGTTAATCGTCTCCGTGCATCGGCCGTATCATCACCATGCTTCCTCCTTTTCTAAAAAAATAAATAAATAAATCGCCATGCCTCCGCAAGAACCAGTCAGCGTACCAAAAAGCCAGTAGTACATCGACATGGCACTAGAGAGAGAGAGTAAAGACGGTAACGGTACGTGGTCTCCGGCCATTACAGAGAACAGAGACGGCAGGGATAGAGATTGCGAGGGTCCGTGGGGTAGTATTTTCCAAAAATCTCACTAGTACGCACGTACCAGCAGTACTGTACCGGTGATCAACATTCATACGCGTGGCTCGTAGATCTTCAAGATTCCGTTTCCTTGGAGTGGAATGCTATGCTATCATCTCATCTCACCCTTTGGATTCCCTTGGCTACTACTTAGGCGGTGTTTGGTTCTTTATTCTTAGGACTTTTTCTAGTCCCAACTAAAAAGTCTCTAGTCTTTAAAAAAACATTTCTTGTTTGTTTCCAGAAACTAAAAAGTCCCTAGTTCCTTCCTAGAGGTTATTAAATAACCATGTTGTCCCTAGTATATAGAAAAATATCAATCAAACAACATCATGGGGTGGCGGGTCAATGAGTGCATGGAGGGGCATTGTTGAAAAAGTTTCAAAAAGTCCCAAAAATACTCTCCTTGAGAGTTTTTTCATTTAGTCCCAAATGCTTAGTTTAGTCTTTAAAAAGTCCCTCCCGTTTGATAAAAAAATCTCTAAGAGGGATTTTTCCTAGTCCCTACAAAAAAAATCCCTAAAAACAAACACCCCCTTAATGGCACTATGCACCTTGGTCCAACAAAGTGTCTTGCGGAATTACTAGATAGCAAATTTTCACGACATGCAAAAAAAGGAAAGGAAAAGGTTCCAGCAGTCAGGTGCAAGCAGACATAAGAGCATGCCCGCGGCGTGCCGCCTAGCGATTGTTTGATACGATTTGCATGTTGATCTGATATTGTTTTATGGGGTAGTAGTACACTTGGAGTTCTTTTTAAAATATGCTCGTAAATCTCCTACCGGAGCAGTTTTATATTGGTTGAAATCTGCACGACCTCGGTCATCACAATCTGCTGGATTTTCTTTTAGTCCGATGTAACTTCTCCAAGCTGGCGTTTGATCTAACCGCCTTCATAATTTTTTAAGCTCGTACCCAGTTCAAAATGGATGCTCTCTACTATACCTGGCTATGGGCCGAGCCGGGCCAGGCCTAAAAAAGCCCATGCCAGAAAACTAAGGCCCAAGCCCTTCCAAGCCCTACCAACGGGCCTACTTTTCAAGCCCAAGCACGGTCCATCTGGTAAAAAGTCCTGAAAAGCCCTTAGGGCTTAGGGCCGTGGGCCGGGTCGGACCTAAAAGAGCCCACGCCAGAAAACTAAGGCCCAGGCCCTCCCAAGCACTACCAACGGGCCTACTTTTCAAGCCCAAGCCCGGCCATCTGGTAAAAAGCCCTGAAAAGCCCTTAGGGCTTAGGGCCGTGGGCCGGACCTCTTCCTTAAAATGCCAAGCCCAAACCCGTCCAGGCCCTGCTGGTGGGCTCAAAACTCAGGCCCAAGCCCGGCCCACGGGCTAGCCTATCAGGCCTAGGGCCGGGCCTGGGTGGGCCGACAAGGCCGGGCCGGAGATGACGAGGACTACTCTCTAGTGAACAGTATCACTGGAATCGCTGGTTTTGCCTAGTGCCGAGTTGTTTGCCAAGTGTATTTCATCGGTGACTCAGCAAACATGACCTTTGTGAGAGTGTCAAAAATACACTCGGCGGAAAGCCAACACTAGGTAAAGTTTTCTTCTTTCTTTCTTTTATCCTCTTTGTTTATTTTATTTTCTTTCTTCTATTTTTTATAATTCTACTAAAATAGACTGTACTTGTTTTTAATTATAAAAAAGAAAGGAAAGTCTAAACACATGAAAATTGGCATAGTGTCATAATTAATCATTTGACATTACAAAAATCTACACACAAATACACAATCAGATGTTTCATATCAACTTTTGACATTTTTGGGGTTCATTTGCTATTTTAAGCCACTAATGAATTCCTAGTCATTTAGTGAATATAATTCAAATTTAAATGCGTGAAAAAAGTTGGCAAAATGGATTGAAACTTTCAATTTGTGCTCTTCAATCTTTATTTGGGACTTATACAATAGAAGAAAAGGAATTCCAAATATCTGGGTGCCAAGACTTGACCCCGGACATGGATCTCATAGTTTTTTTATTCTAAAGAATGAAAACGGAATCCGAAAAACATTAAACCTTCATGGTGTCATGATAAAAATTTGAGAATATTTAGCAAAATCTGTGACGTATGTTGGAAATATACCCTAAAGGCAATAACAAAAGTTGTTATTATTCTATTTCCATGTTCATACTTAAGTTTATACTTTTTATGTTAGAATTTGTGTTAGTTCTTGAATGTGAGATTTGGAATAAAACCTAGTTGTATGTGTAGAAAGATAAACACCAAATAGGTCTGTATTCAAGACTCTAAACTAGCTCATGTATTGTTGATGGTTTTGTTTTATTAACCATGGCCATTGTTAATGTAACAAAGATGAAGACCGTAGGAAATATGTCCTAGAGTTAATAATAAAATATTATTTTATTTTCATGTTCGTATTTAAAAGTTTATATTATGTGTTATAATTATAATGGTTTTTAGATATGAGATTTAGAGGAAAACCCAGTTGCATATGTGAAAACATAAACACCAAACAGATCCCTA